GGATGATATTATTGTGGCTATCACAGAAGAGTCAGATGTTTCCACTTTAACTAAAATTATTGAGCGGTTTGCCAAAATCTCCTCATCCAAAGTTAACTGGAGCAAAAGTAAAGCTTTGCTAGTTGGTAAGTGGAAAAAACAAGAACCTAAATTACCTGGTGAATTAAAGTGGTTGAAAAATGGTTTTAAATATTTGGGAGTTTACTTGGGAGATCAAATAGAGGTAAAGAAAAATTGGGAAGGTTTTATCGAACTGATGGAAGGTAGGTTAAAGAAATGGCACTGGCTTTTGCCACGATTGTCTTACAGGGGCCGTACTCTAATTATTAATAATCTCGTTGCTTCAACTTTGTGGCATCGTTTATCTGTTTTGGAGCCCCCACCAGGTCTTTTGGTAAAACTACAGACTATCATTTTAAATTTCTTTTGGGACAGATTACATTGGGTCCCTCAGAGTGTTTTGTTTTTACCAAAGGAAGAAGGAGGACAAGGTTTAGTTCATTTAGAGAGTAGAAAAGCAGCCTTCAGATTACAGTTTATACAGAGTTTCTTGTATGGTGATCAAAATGTTTTATGGAAACAAATCACTGAATGTTTTTTTTTTCAAAAGTTGGTAATTTAGGTTTTGGTAAAATTTTGTTTATTGTTGATATTTCAAAATATAGTGTAAAGTGTTTGCCATCTTTTTATGTAAGTGTGTTAAAATCTTGGAACCTCATGGAAACGAAGAGAGTTGGAGCGTCCACATCTTTAAACTGGTTATTATTGGAACCTGTCCTCAAGGGATCTCGTTTGGGCTCAGCCTGGGACAACATGGTGATGATTTCTGAACTGTTGATGAAAAAAGGGGTGGTCACACTGAAACATCTCCTTGAACTTGTTGGACCTGAAATGGATGATGCTGTTTCATTGGCCCGAAAATTGGAGATTCACTCTTTAAGAACTGTAGGCATGATGTTGACAATGTTTAAGCGAATGTTGTCAGAAGAAGACAAAAGACTCATAAAGGAATGGTTTGATGGACGTCTAACACCAGATAAAGCAGATCCTTTCTTTAAATTGTGTTTTAAGGCAAAATTGAAAGACTTTGAATGTCCTGGACTTTTTTTAGAGAAAGAAAAAAATGAATGGAAACTTTTTGATTTGGTGAGGGGAAAGGTGATATATACGAAATGTGTTAAGGCTTTGAACAAAGTAAAGCTAAAAGATAAAAAAGATACTCCTTGGAGAGATTTTTTTAAAGTTGGACTTGAGGTGAAACCTGTATGGGGGTTACTTTATAAACCACCATTGACTAAAAATGTTGGTGATTTACAATGGAGAATCTTGCATGGTATTATTGCGGTTAATGCTTTTGTTTCTATTATTAATCCTGGTGTTTCAGATAAATGTCCCTTTTGTTTAATGAGAGAAACCATTTTTCATTGTTTTGTACAGTGTTTCAGATTAATGGATTTATTTGCTTTACTAAGAAATATTTGGAAATTATTTGGAGAAAATTTCACAGAGCAGTTCTTTATTTTTGGGTTTTTATATGGCAAAGGAAAGAAGAAAATTGGACGATTGTTACATTTTTTTCTGGGTCAAGCAAAGCTTGCAATTTATTTGAGTAGGAAATTTAAAATTAATAATGGACAGAATATGGATTGTGTAAAGCTCTTTAAGAGTATGGTTAGGGCAAGAGTTATG